TTGTAATTGAGATGTAAGGATGGTGAGGAGCAGTGAGATGATGTTGGCCACTTTTAAGTTGTGGGATATCTGCTTTGTGGAAGCGGGACGGTGTGATGTTGCTGGCGATGGGGATACTCCTTGCCTTTAGAATGGTGCGTGATATATTGGTGCTGCTGAAAGGTGGGAGGATAATAGCTGTTGAGTTGCTGCTGGTTCCGAAGGAGATACTACCAGCGCTTGTGCTTGTACAGTGCCCGCATTAGGTTGGCTTATTGGCAACCAGAGCGCTATTGCCGAAAATCTCCATCTCCTCCATATAAGAGGCAATACATGGAGTATCTCCAGTTCTTACAGCGTTGTCCTTCGCGCACTTGAAGGCAGACAACAAAGTCCGCATTTTGCCTTCTAATGCAACCGGGGTTGTGGAAGGGTCCTATATAACAATAAAACAAATTAAAAAAACACAAATTAAAAACACTCATTCAACTTACTGTGAAGCCTTGTGCTACCATGTCTTCCAAAACATGAGCATAGGCATTTCTTTTTTTCCTAGTGTGAAGAAACTCCTCCTTCCGGGCCAAGTAGCACTTCAGCAAACCTTTGGTTTCGACCACTGTCCACACCTTGCGTTTCTTTTAAAAAATGCTTATTAATTTCTTATATTAAATTATTTAAAAACAAAAACTAAATATTGTTGCCATTTTTGATTTTAAATTCTGTTTGCTGTTTCAAAAATGTTAAATTTGAAATTGTCATGTTTGGCAGTAAAAAACGTGTCTAAAATAAGAAAATAAACTTGGTAGCATTGAGGGAAGCTGTTATACCAGTTTTATGAGGTGTCACCATGCTCGTCAGTGCTAGCTAACTTTGTTGTTGCTTTCACATACAAATTTTCTGACAAGCGAGCAGAGCTCTAACATAGCGAGCAGAGAAGTGGCGAAACGAATGCGCCTATTTTTTTCCTATGTATAGCACATGATACAAAAAAGAAAGTAGTTCCATTCTCACTTTTTCGTCGCCATATTAACAACATGAATATTAAGCAGATTGTGACATTTCGCGCTACCATACCCAATATCCAAAGTCCTTCAAATTTTATTATAAATTTTTCCGTTTTTAAATATGTACGGTTTGTGTAAGAAATCTGGTAATACTATTGTGCAATAGAGGTCAGGTAACACGTTAAAGTTATCCGGGCCATACTGGTTTTTACATTACCTCGTGTCTTATTCGCAGAACTTCCTGTAATGACATCTTAATATTGCCTATGAGTCTAGTGTTTTCGCTATTTGGATATTTTAATACTTTAATCAGTAAAAGTACCGTGAATTCCTTAATAATCGGAACTGCCATATTAAGCACTTCTAAGGCAATTTCAAGAAACAAACAAAGATTTTCTAACGAAAGTTCTCGAACAAAATGTTGCAACTATACATCAAATCTTCAATAATGAGACTCACATAAAAGGCATCCCGAACTTCAGGAAGTTTGATAAAAGTGTAGAAAAGTGGTAGATTTATGTTCAGCAGATGGAACACCATTTCGTCGCAAATGGAGTATCCGATGAAAAATTAAGGCGCGCACGTTTCCCTTCATGGATTGACACCAAGGCAAGTTGTTGCAAAAGCTTTGCGATAACGACATCGCCCAGAAATCTTTCATTGATGCGGCAAAGTTCTACCACCACTTTCCGGAAAAGCAGCATGTATTGGCAGCTCGATATAAATTTTACTCTGTGCGGATGAAGCCGAATCAAAATTACGCGGACTGAGTTGCAGAACTTCGAGGGGCAGCGAAAGAGTGTATATTCGAGTGCACAAGAGAAAACTGCCATGAAACATTCACTGATAATAGCATACGAGACATGATTATCATGCACGCTCCTCACGATAAAGTTTGGAGCACCGCACTACAAAAGCCGAATCCAACCCTGGATGAAGTCTTACAAATTGCAACTATGTGCGAAGCAACTGTTAAAACATGCATGGAAATAACAACAAACAAACCAAAAAGAGCGCAGTAAGTCTGGAAATAAATCAGCAGTAGCCAAATCCTGTCCGGCCTGCGGTATCGCTCACCATAGGACACAGTGTTATCATTATCTAAACGAAACCAAGTGTCGCTTGAGTCAAAAGAGTGACCATATTAGAGCCGCATGCCGAGCGGCGGCAGCGCCCACGAACAAGCAGCGAAAGAGTTCACAAAAAAAAAACGCGAGGAAAATATTAGCACCATTGACAAGTTCACATTCAAGAATATTGAGTGGCTGGATCTTATTTCCGAAGAAAACGATTGTGATGTTAAGTTATCTACTGATTATAATAGCAAGTCTGACAAAATTTTAATAGATATTGTGCTTAATGAGAAAAAAATGCAGTTTCAAGTTGATACGGGTGCATCATGTTCGCTAATTGGACTGCAGACATATTCACTACTGGGAAAGCCAAAGTGCGAAGCTACCAACAAAGTATTGAGAGCTTACGAGGAGATTTGATTGACGTGAAGGGCGCTATTAAAGTAAACGTTGAGTGGAAGGGTATGGTCAAACAAATGACATTGCTCGTCGTGGATTCACATAAGGCATCCAACATTCTCGGTATGGATTGGTTTGGAGCATTGAATTTCAAATTATATAATAATGATAAAAACGAAAACGAAGTCATCTCTGCTATTCACGGCCAGGCATCGTCGAACGCATTGACCACTTCTCTAAAAGAATACACCCAGCAGTATGCTGATATATTTTGAAAAAGCCAAACGGGAAGCTAAGAATCTATGCTGATTTTAAAGTGGGTGTTAATTCTCAAATCGAAATCGACCGGTACCCGATTCCTCGCATTGAAGAGCTTTATCATAAACTACAAGGTGGCCAGTATTTTACGAAAATCGACTTAAGTGAGGCATATTTGCAAATCGAGTTGACCGAAATGTCAAAGCGTTTATTGGTTTGCTCCAATTTCAAAGAATGCCTTTTGGCATCAAACCATCAGAGAAATGTGTGGACGCGATCAAACGCATGCCTAGACCGAAAAACTTGCAAGAAATCGAAGCATTTATCGGTAAAGTAAATTATTATAATAGTTAGTTAGTTAATTTTCTGGGTGTACTAGAACCAGAGACACCGCGACCTAAAAGATCTTTTGTATCTCTTTAAAGGAGTCCCTAACCCAATGTGGCCAAGATACCTTCGGCTTCCCTAATGAATCCTAAAAGGGCATTGGTAGACGAATTCCTAATAACAGGGTTCGACCATCGAAGATTAAAAATAAATCAGTCTTTGTCTGGCTAAATCCGGACAGTGACAGAGAATATGCTCCGAAGATTCATCAGCCTCGAGGCAGAGCCGGCATTCTGACTCTGTGATCGCTCCTATTCGGTGCAAGAGCAGTTGAACACGTGTTTATAGATCCAGTGACGGATAGACATGCCAATCTTTGGAGTTTGTTAAGGTGAAGTATGGCTAAACAAAGGTTTTTGCAGCAGACCTATTGCGAATTTGTGTTCGCTGGCCAACCTATCAATTGTGGCCGATGCCCCCTTGGCATGATGTAGGTTAGCCTGTAGCATCCTTAAGGTGCTCATTGCTTCCGCTGAAGCGATGCTTTAACGAGACACTCCTCTTTGTCTCGTCGGTACCCCTTTTCCCTGGCATCGCCGGTCCGTTTTGGTCGTACGGTAGTGGTGGGTTTTACTGGCTTGGAACCCACATCTTCTTATCGCCCAATGGTGACAATCAACGTGGGCTGTCGAGTCACACTCGAAGCCTAGGATCCAGTCCCTGTTGATGCAACAGGTAGCACAGTTGCTTGCCTGTTGCCTGGCAGTGATTTGGATCATTGTCCCGAAGGTGCCTTGCCAGCACAGGTCTCCGTCTGCGGAATTGGTTAAGGAGCTTTTACCTCGGCTGCTGTCTCTGCTGTAATGGCTGAGCCAGCTGCAAGCATGCCTGGCGGCTCCACTGGTAGATCGCCGCCCGTCCATCTCGTGTTCAGCCGCGGCAACAGCTTCCCTGGCCTCCTCCGCAGGCTTGGTGACCTCCGCCTCTATCGGTTGCTGCTCTTTAGCTCGCAACAGCAATTTTACGTGGCCATATCTGTAGGCGATGCTATTTTTAGCCGCAGTAAACTTTACCATCGAATCGCGGCCAATTACGATGACCAAGTGCAGAAACTTCTTCTGCACCTGTCTTCGTTAAACCTTCCAGCACGCCGTTGAGAGATGGTTCTGGGTTGCGAAACTACTTTCCTCAACGAGTGAAATATCAAGACCACTCTTGGCCTTGATATGGTCGGCGTGTAGCCGAAGCCATGTCTCGGTTTGTGCGTCCGAGCAGACGACGAGAAGCCACCCAGCTCGTGGGACGCATTTCTCAAACTCTGGCTTTACATCAGTCCCCGATCGCTCAATCAGGATATCTATTACGATTTTTGGAGCTGAGCCAGTTGCTCTGCTCCAAGTGGTTTGTTAACGGGGTCAACGGGAATGAAGCCCAGTTCGACACTACTCGCCACCTTACTGTAGGCAGCTTTCATTGGCCCCATATGAGCCTGTCGAGGCTTCTTTGGGACAGCGTCACGAGGGGATTGCTCCTCGGAGCGCACCTGTTTCAGCTTCCCATCGGGAGTTGAGATGCTCTTGCCTATTTGTAGAGCCTAAATTATTATAATAAGTTCATACATAATTTTTCAACACTCGCAGTGCCAACAAATAGATTGAGAAGAAATAATGCCGTCTTTTAATGGGGGCAAGAACAAGAAACTGCCTTCCAATCCTTGAAGAATTTGGTCATTGAAGCATTCCGACTTGTACATTATAACCAGTAGTGTCCAACCTGTAGCTCGCGGGCGCCGGTAGCTCACGGGCGCGACCTAAATTTGAGGCGCCCGCAAACAATAAGATGAACAGAATATTTTGTATTGAATTGAAAAGTTTAACAATTGGAAGCTTTTTTGGTACATAAGTAAGCTTTTATTTTTGAATTTTCACGAACTCATTCACTTCTTATCTTTCTATGCTAGACATGACAGAATCTCTGTTTCAGGATTTTCAAAACAAAAACAGCGTAATCTCAGCAATAAAAAAGTGTCGTCATCTGATGACCTACCAAACGATATTCATGGCCAAATAAAAAGCGATTTCAAGAAATGTGACTAGGTTTCCTTACAAATGGATGAGTCGACCGATGTTTCAGACTCTCCGCACTTATTAGTGTTCACCAGAGTGGTATTTTCTGATTTTTCTGCTAAGGAGGCACTTTTAGTCAATCTGACTTTGGAAGGTCGTACTCGTGGACAAGATATATATATATATAACGTAGTGAAAAAGAAGGAAAATCTGATTGCAAAAACACTCAACCTTGACAATGGTATGAGCACGATCATTCGTATGGTGAAGTGATTTTAAGAAGTTATCTGAAAATATGAAGATTCAAGCATCATATTAAGTTTAGTGGGCATGTGCTGCGAGTCGTACGATTTGAAATCGGTGCGATTTGCAAACTATTTTTGATTATTTTTAGGGAAAGTAATAAATATTTCAAATGAAAACGGCGAGAAACACATAACTTACGTCATATCTATCGATTCAGGCCAAATTTTGCCGTTTTGTTAATCAATCTCCGAAGAAGGTTTTGCAGATCGCATCGATCTCAAATCGTACGAATTGCAGCACATATGTTTACAATAAAATGAATGTTCTTCATTAAAATATTATGCGCTGTTATTAATTTAACTTAACTGTATAAACTTTAATAATAAATAAATATTTTAAAAGGATCAGTTAGTAGAATATATACATTGAATATAAGAAGAGTGAAACGAGTTAACGCAGTTAAGATTGAAGTTAAGCTAGGGGTGCCCGCGTATTATAGCGATAGTTTCAAAGTAGCCCTTTGTCCAAGTTCTGTTGGACACCACTGATTATAAAGATAAACTACCTATTTTACTCGCAGTCGACGCATCCAGATTGGGTATTGGTGCGGTGTTATCCCATTGTTTCGCTAATGGTTCGGGAAAACCAATCGCGTACGCATCAAATACACTTAACAGCAGTCAAACAAATTATTCGCAGATAGAAAAAGAGGCATTGGCTATAATATACGGCATGACCAAATTTCACCAGTATCTCTACGGAAGACAGTTCGAGCTGGTCACAGATCATCAAGCGCTTACCGCGTTGTTTCACCCGTCTAAAAGGTTACCGGTGATGGCATTACACCTTGTACAATGTTGGGCTATTACACTTCAGGCATAATGTCATCCCAAAACGCGAATGCTGATGCGCTCCCACGTATGCCACCGGGTGAAGATCCTGCTTTTCACGAGGAGGAGAACAGCTTGTTTAGGATTGATGTAAAAGACCAAGCCGTGGTAATCCAATTTTCAATAAATGAACAACTTATTAAACAAAAACCAGAAGCCGATGAAAATATGTATTTTAGGGCTGGCCTCAACGTTCGCTTGAGACAAATCTTGAGCCGTATTTTAATCGAAACCTTTATTTATCAATACAGAATGGGGTGTTATTGCTACATACCGAATACATAAGAGTAATAATACCTAAAAAAACTTCAAAGCAGGGTATTGACGATGCTCCATGATGGACTACGTCTGGTTTCCCGGTATCGAACAAAATTTTTTTGGAATATACGACAACTGCTCCATCTGTCAAGCGACTGCTGCACTTCCAAAGTGCGATTTTTTCTCCTTGGCCGGAAGCCACACATCCATGGGAGCGAATACATTTGACTTCGCGGGCCATTTTATAATCATATGTGGTTGATTATTGTAGATTCCTATTTAGAGTTTCCGAATGTTGTTGAGTTATATGCAGCTACTACACCAACGACAATAGCAGCACTCCAGCGAATCATATCCGTCGAAGGGCTTCCGTGCACCATTGTAACATATAATGTAACGCAATTTACCTCCCAAGACTTTCAACAGTTTTGCAAACGAAATTCTATTCAACACCTAACAACTGCACCATTTCATCTTGCCTCCAACGGGTTAGCAGAAAGGTTCGTACGGAGTTTTAAAGAAGCTTTTACGAAAATTATAAAGACAGAGCACCACACCGAGCGTGCTTTGTACAAATATTTTGCCACGTACCGAACCACACCTAACCCCGTACTCGGTCAATAACCGGCAGAGCTACTTCATGGGCGTCAACCTCGAACGATCCTCGCTGCAATGTTCCCATAGCCTGTTCAACATCCAAAATCTGGAAGTAAATTTTTTATCGGCGCGAAAATTTGGGCGCGAAACTATGCAGGGCTTGAAGGCCAAATACAGCAAACGTTGGGCAAGTAGATATATCGGGTACAGACCGATAGAGGATTATGGAGGTGTTACCAAACTCAACTACTGATAGTCTAAGAGCCAGTGAACAGCATACTTCATGTAATTTACTAAAGCTCAAATTTTGTTCAGTCGAGCCTTAATACCTTCTCTACTTGGAAGGGCCACTAACTAAGCCCGGCAGCGGTCCATACGGCGTCACGCAGGTCGCAAAGGTAGAAAATTCAGACCAATTTCGAAAGTATTTTAATAAGTCTGACATTTAAGTATTTTGACATTCAATGTTATTATTACTCGAAAATAATAATGGCAGATAATTTTGGGGGTTTTGAAATCATAGCAGACACTTTTGGATATGTTAAAAAAATAAAAAATTCAAAAGTATTTTAACAAAAGAGAAATTTTAATATTTTACTTATTATAGTATTAGACGCCTGTATTTATCAGGTAAGACATTCTGTCCGGCAATTACATCCCGGCAGACAGCGATACCTAACCTATAGCCCGAGCACACGTACACAATAGGGGTATTCTCCAAATCTTGCAAAGCCATTGCACGTAGCACGGATTGCACGGATTGCATAAATTGCAAACACACAACAAGAAAATTCATGGGAAACAACATTTCCTATCGCTGCAAAATATGCAACGTCGAAACCCATGTATATATTTTGCAAAATAGCATAGCAAGATAATAGCGACCCTGTGCTAGTTGTTTTGTTGTTGGAATTGCTACATATTTCTCTCATTCCTCTCATCTCGCTCACTTAATTTTTTTTTGCTGTCTCTTGTTATTGTATTTGATACATAATTTCGCTGCTTGCTCCCCATGCATGCTACCACTTTGCAATGGGGTGTTCTCGTACTCTTCGAAATTTGGAATAGTATTTTTGCATTTCGTGCAATCCGTGCATCGTGCAAGACTTCGAGAATACCCCTAATGTATAATGTACACTATGTCACCATACTTTTTGCTATCAAAAGTCGACCTACCTAATGTACCAAAGCAAGTGCACTTACCAGTGCCCAACAACAACAATACACAAGGGCCAACCAAATAAACATATATACGCACAAAAAGGAAGTGTCAAAAAAATTGCAACCGGCTGACTCAGTGGAGACGGCGGGATTGCTTGAGGGGGAACAACAGGGCAATATACAAAATACTTAGGGCAACTGGAATTTGGATAACAACATTGTATGAGGGAACGGCACCAACTATTAACAAGTAGCAAACTACCTACAAATATGACTATTAGGGTGAGCCCAAAAACTATGGAACAAATCACTCAATATTCAAAGGCAACCAAAAGTACTATATGACAAAACAAACTGTAATAAAGAGTCAAAAACGCCAATAACAAAACCTTGTTTGTTGGTGCACCGGAGGTTAGGTCCAACCAAAAGATTACGAACCCACTCGCAATACCACCCAATCTGCCGGGGGTAACTTTAACCCACCAAGTGACTGGGCTATGGGTGCGGGATGCCAAAATTTGTTTCTATAGACTGGTTCACCTATTTCTTACCTCGAGTATGGACGCGAACTACAATTTGGTAGCACAATTCAATGTCTTACTACAGCAAGTAAATCTAACGCACTTGTGGGAGTGTCTAAATGCAGAAACGTGGAAAAATTCAAAAACGCTGGTGTTTGAACGTTTTGACAGACATCTAAAATTTCAGGACATTCTCGCATGCTCACAGTCGTCTTCAATGTCGTTTAAAATACTAAGATCCCTCGAAGATAAGCGGCATGCTACCTATTTACAAAAAGCCAATTCCATAATTCCAGAGTTTTCGCACAGCTCCGGTTATCAACGAAACATTCGCTGCGCTTTTGCATTGGCGGCCAAATTTATAGATTTAATCAAAATAATTATTGTACTATATGCAACCTAAACAAGCTAGAGTCTTTGCAACATTTTCTGTTTGAATGTCCCATATATTCGGATTATCGTGAGCATTACTTAAATCACCTGATTGTAAATGGTACACCATCAAATTTCTTATGCGACCTCACAGATAACCGTTCAATTAAATTACTTTATTATTATATAGCTAATAGCTTAAAATTGAAATCATTTATAATTAATGAGTCATTTGTTTTACCTCTTAGAAGTTAATCCATAAAACACTTTAAATTGTAATTTCGAATGTAAACGTAGAGAAATATCTTAGGAGCCCTCCTGCTCCAAGAGCCCTAGGCTCTTTTAAGCAGTAATAAAATTTAATTGAATTGAATTGAAAAAGGAAAGGATAGGGAATACAATAGGGGAAAACTACCGACAACTCTACTAGCCAAATACAGGCAAAAACACAGAGGATACTTATGCTGTGGTCGGGGTGTACGTCGACTACTGGGTGCTCCTGCAGGGCTACGCCGCCCAAATCCGATACCAACACTGCCAACTACTTTATCTAGCGCCTCGACTGGCTTCTTATTTTGCCTGCTCGCCCGCAGTCTAAGTGTCTCTACTGGCACTTACGCAAAATCACCAAAAAAAAAACCACTGTACCGCGTCTAGTACTAAATAACTATATATGTAAATTAAACACTTCAGAATAAACAAATTCGCATACAATAGGGATGTTTCCCTGATCCATGCTCACTTGGTTCTGCCCCGGCGCGCAGCTACAAGTTGGGCCGCAACCTACGCGCCTGTCCGCAAAACCATCGGGCCTCAGTGCTGGTTTTGTTGTTGCCCGATCAATTGGCGCCGGCCCGTTAATTCTTAAAACGAATTGGGCGCTTTTGCGGTCGCCACCACGCACACAAACAACCACCATCGACGTTGCCATTTCCATCATTCGGCGGACAACAAAAGTGCCGCGATAAGAGAAAAAGACCCTACTGTGGGTTTTCGCGTCATCTCTTCCTATCCTGTTACTATTGGTCGGTATCGTTTTGGCGCGAACACCCCTAATGGAGACTGGAGCTGTTTTGCTTTTCAACCTGAGCTTTAATTTACTCAACTAGTTGCCGGTAGTTTTCGCTCCTCTCGGTTGGAGTGAAAGGAAATAAGGGTAAAACGAAGGAATATATATAAGAAGCTTTGTTGCGGCCAGTACGCGACAACTAGACAGCTACGATAGAAAAAACTTTGCAACTTTTAAAACTTATTTAAAAGGATTTTACGGTCATAAAAATTTTCGGCCTTGGCGAGTCCTAAAAACACCCGAAATGCCTTACTCTTCATAAAATATTCATAGGTGTGTACTCGTATTGAGAGGACAAAATTCTCCAGCAGCAAAAGTTCTGAGAATTTAGCAGCATTCGTTCTCAAAAAGAAGAAATATCAACAGAAGTACGAGAACGCAAAATTTGCAAAAACTTGCAACCTTCGAAACAGCTGATTAATGCACAGTTGCCACTGGTGATTAATTTGGCAATTTATTTTCTGCTTGGTACATTTTCTCCAGATTTGGCATTTTATACAATTGAATAGTTTTGGATAAGAAAAACCTTTTTAAAATACAAATTAATTATATCGGAGTGAAAAGTTATTTTTTCTCATAATTATTTGTGATATCACATGGTGACGCATTCAAAAACAAGAGTATCTCCTCCAAACACGCATCAGTGATCAAAAAAAGAAAAAATTTAATAGATATAGCTACAGATGTAGCTTTAAAATTATAAAATTTTCATTTCAGCAATCAACTTACCAAAACCGAAAACTTCAGCAAAAAAACATTTCAGCATGCTGCATTTAAATCTATTTTGGTAAATGTAAAGGAAAATTATGGTATAAACGAAAAATGTCATACGGTAACCATAGTCAGCACACACTAAAGTAAGCAAACTGGAGATTAATAGCAAATTAACGAAAAATAAACTCAACAAACGTTGTGCTTACTAAATTTACTCACTTTTTCGTTGTATACTAACATTAATAATAAAATTTGCAATAAATAACTCAAAAAGGCCATATTTTCTTTTGTTTATTTACAAACATGTGTTTCTGATCAGTTGATTTTCTTACTTGCAAGTTTTAGCTGGGAAAAATTTTTCCAGCGGAAATTTGCAGCTCTCTTTCACATTTTGCTCTCTCAATTTCCCCTACTTTGCAAGTTTTTTGGGTACGAGAATAATAATAATACGAGAATTTGTTAATAGGGTACTCATACGCCATGACATCCGAGAATATTAACGTCGTTGAAAGTACAAAACCGTGTATCGTCATTCTGCAAAACCGCGTAACTGACATTTGCTGCCAAAATGTGGATTTCCTCACACAAGCCCTTTGCTCAATTCTTATCCACTCGTCCTGAAATATTTTAGCCAGAAATGTGATTGCTTTATAAAAATGAGAACCATTTTAGAATATGAGTGTTTTTACTCTCTAGAAAATAATTTATGCAGCCTCGCATACGCGGATTTGTATTATCTTGATACGGTTTTACATTTTGTTGATACGCGGGTTTTACTTTAAACGACGTTATGAGGTATTTACATGAGGAGAGTAATAGCGAAAATAGTTATAAAGAAAAATCGATTTGGACTCACCAAGGACGAATATTTTTAATGACTCTAAAATCCTCTCAAAGTTATCTTTCAATCTAAGGGGCTAATTGCAAACTTATTTTCGCAACCCAGTATTATGTAGACTTACATCTGTTTAATCCGCATTCAATTGAATTTACTTTTAAATATATGTACATATAATAGCTTATAAAGTGATGTAAATTGAAATATTTACTGCAGTAAAATTCGAAATATGGGCTGATTTATAAACAAAAATAGGTGATATACTTACATACATAGGTAAAATACATACTTAATACTTGAAATTGTCGTAAGCATAAAATAGTTCGAAATTTTTTTATGGTTTCTTCCGAAAATAATTGTCTCTT